TTATGTCAAGGTAGTTGTACTGAAACATTGATTATATGCAAATGCAGTCTGCTTACAATAAATCCCCTTTTTTGTTTATTTTGAAGCCCTATGAGTGCTTTCTTTCACGTTTGAGTGATAGTTTTCAGTTTTAAGGTTTTTTTCCCGGCTTCCATATCTGCACACTATGCTGGCTCGATGCATTATAGGTCTTGTATATAATTTTTTTCCAGGGCTGCTTTTCATTCCCTGTTCGGCCATGATCACGAATATGAAAGAACTGTGCTTTTACATAATATTACACACAATAAAAAGGCACATATTTTGTAAAGGAACATATATAATGGAAGAATTTATCAGCAAGTGATGACAGGCCCATTCTCCCTAATGTACATTTCTGTCTTGGAATCTCTGTTGAAATAAATGTCAACATTTGAGAGCAGTATCTATTGACTGTCATGTCTAATTCTGTGCTAACTTACTGTCAACATGTAAATAATGGTGCCGTACATATCCAGGATGTATCTGTGGAAGATATATGTTCTTCTGTAGAAGGCATTACAAATAAGGTCATAAATTGCTGTGTGCATTGCAACTTATACAGTTTATTTCAGAATTATGTCAATGTTAAGCGCAGTCTGATGCATATTATGAGAATACCCAAACTATGTAAATAACCAGCAAATTTATAAACAGCTAGAATCTTGATTTACAATCGACACTAGCTGAAATTAAAGTATATATTGTAATAAAGAAAAACATCTTTATATTGCATACAGCCCAAGTGTCCCTATTTTAGGTACAGTTCCTATTTTGGGCCCAAATCGCTCTGTCTCTCTTTCCTATCTTAATGTCCCTTGTTTCTAGGAGCTCCATATTGTTGGTGTGTTTGCGATTACAGAGCTCCACACTAATAATACTCACAGTAATGTGTCTTTAGACTACAATAAATGTGTTTAGAAATAAATAAGTAAATGTGTTTAGTCTGTGTAAATAAGATACATTGTTCTTGTTCTAAATTACATTTTGGTTATTACTAGTAAGTCACCTAAAATTTCTCAGAACAGCCGCGACCCTGGCCAAAACACAGACTCACACCCATAAAATTAGTAACCCTCTTTGTACTTTTGTAATGTTGGGAGATATGATATTTAGAAATATTAATTAACATAAATTAAATATTGTTAATGCTTATGCCTACTTTTCAACAACAGGTGCATGTGGGGCTGGTGATGCAATTTGTGTCACTAGTAACAATCAATGTTTTAAACATTGTATGTTTTATTGGGTGACAGGCTACCAAGACGATTAATAAACTAGTGGTCTGAGTAACAATGGCCATACACAGAGCACCATGTTGATATATTACCAGAAGCAATAGGGAATAGGGTTCACAATTTTGGGACTGTTCTACCAAATTCAGGATTATTGGCAAGTATTAAAATAACTGAGTCAACATGAACACGTAAACAAAAATAATGCTGAACCCTATAGAGCAGCTCTTCTGGAATGTGTCCTCCTGAACGTGCCCATACTATGATAAAATACATGAGATAGAAGTCACTTACCTCCTCATTGTGCCAAAACTGTGACAGAATACATCAGGCCCAGACTGGCCGTCAGGCAAACCGGGCAAATGGCCATGGGTCGAGGCCGGCATGCCGTAAGAGGGAGTTCTGTCCCCTCACGGGCGGTGGAGGGGAGATTGGACAGTGAGCGAAACCCCTAAACCCATATATATATATATATATATATATATATATATATACACACACACACACACTACAGTCCCTGCTCTAACACACAAACAGCCCTATATACACACTACACAAACTTTATACCCATATATACACACTACAGCCCATGCACTAACACACAAACACCCTATACACTCTAAACCCATATATACACACTACAGCCCATGCACTAACACACAAACACCCTATACACTCTAAACCCATATATACACACTACAGCCCATGCACTAACACACAAACAGCCCTATATACACACTACACAAACTTTATACCCATATAAACACACTACAGCCCATGCACTAACACTAGACATGTGCAATTTGTTTTGTTCCGAACGTGAATTAGGCGAATTTTGGGCAATTCGGACATTCGGATACTTCCGAATGTCTGAATAGCTGAATTTACCGAAGTTCCGAATTCTAGAAGTTCCGAAATCGCCGAAGTGCCAAAGTTCCGAAGTTGCCGAAGTTCCAAAGTGATGAAGTGCTGAAGCACAGAACTGCCGAAGTACTAATATACCGAGTGAAAGAATGAAGAATGTTACACTGTATAGCAGTTTAAATAAAAAGTATACAAACATAGCCAGGATTCAGCTGTAAGCATTTGCAACACTTACAACAATCAAGTAACACATTCATATAAAATGTAAGTTACTTAGCCAGTCAATGGATGGGAATGAATAAGTAGATAACGCCCTAATTCCAACGGTATTAGGGAGCTATCTACTAAAAGGCTGAAAGACCTAAATTGGTCTTTCAGCCAAATTTACTAATACTAAGTAAAGATTACTTAGTATTAGTAAATTCTGCCTCTACTTGCTATACCGCAAGTAGGGGCATGTCTACTGTGGCTGCTCACTGTTAAAAAAATAAATAAAAAAAAATAAAAAACCTGTGTCCCCCCCTCCCGAGCCTCAACCCGTGTCGCGCGAGTGGGGGCTTTTAAACTGAAGGGGGGACCTATTGCCCCCTCCGGCCTCCAACCCTGAGTGGCGGGTGGAGACCCTAAATCAGAAAAACGGGGGGGGACCTATTGTCCTCCCCTCCGGCCCCCATCCCTGAGCGGTGGGTGGGGGCCCTAAAGTAAAATAAGGGGGGGGGACCTATTGTCCTCCCCCCCAGTCCCTCCAGAGCACAATAGGCCCCCCTTATTCTTCTTTACGACCCGCCGCTTGGGGGTGGGGGCTGGGAAGGAGGACAATAGGTCCCTCCCCATGAAGTCATTTAGGGCCCCCACCCACCTTAGGTAAATAGTCTGTGATGTCTTCTTTATATAAATATATACTCTTGTGTGGAAATTTTGTTTTCTGTGATGGGTATTAAACTTCCAAGACAAACATACCAACTTCTAAAATTGTTTCACATTGAAATTTTATTTTAGACCTTGTAGTTTGTGACCTGTAACTTTTAAAATAAACTGAAATCCTACACATATTATACACTTTGTAAATCAAGACACATAAATGAATTGATTTTGAATTACTTTTCCTAAGCTGGACATATTATGCACATGTTATTATTGCCAAAAAGTGGAAAAAATATATTTTTAGTTTTTCCCCCCCATTATTTTGCTTTTTTTTTGTAATAAATAAGAATTTATATATGTATAGGTCACATCCAATTAAAGCCCTTTTGTCATCTAAAAAAGGGTATATAATATGTGTTGGTACAATAAATGAGAGAGATGTAAATTGCAGTTGAACACAAACAGCAAAAAATGCAAAAAATGCTTGTGTCCTTAATGGTATGTCCAGCTTCTGAAGCTGAGTCCTTAAAGCGTAAAAGTCATCCTCCTTCCACTCCATTTTATTTGGGCCCCACTCATATTATTGTAAATTAATTATTCACCTGAGCAATAAAAGTGGGTTTTACTCAGTACAAAACCCCAATTTACAGAACACTGAGGATAAATGCATTAATAAATCATCAGCAAACACGTTAATGAATAATAACTACTTTTTGCATTTAGCAGTAGTAGCAATTTACGGATTTGCAAGTTGTTAATAAATCTTATGATTGCATAAATATACTGCAGAATAATTAGGGAGTTTTTTGTATATTATTATTAGCTTTTTTTCCCCTCTCTGAAAAAAGTGCTCCTTAGTAAATTATGTCTCAACGTCTTAAATTAAGAAGTTGAGAAGCTATGCTCCACATAAGAAATATATTAATGAATACATAAAACACCTATTAATCTGTAACAGCATCAAAGAAAGAAATGTTTGAAAATCGCAGTAGGATTATAGCCGGATCGCTAATCCTTAATCCATATGTCTTTTATAAGATAAAATAATGCTATGAATTGATACTTCTTTCTTGTGCAAAACCATTATAATCCTTATTGTTGGAATTGCAACTGTGTCTCGATGAATCACACACTAGAAATATCCCACAATGTGTTCTTTTTTCACATAAATTGTTTGCAAGTGATATTTCCATTGTAAATTTTTTATTTATTATATTGCACAGTTGTGGCATTATATATACTATTTCCATGTTTAATTTGTAGTGATTAATGTGTAGGTTAGAAAAACATAATAAAATAATCATAATTGCACATTTTGTTTTCCTTTTAATTATTACTATTTTTCTTGCAGCTGATTAGTTCATGCTTCCTTGGGTCTAAATTACCCCAGTTATGATAAATTAGCGTTTTTGTGTGTGTATATATTAAAGGGACACTCCATAATTATTAGTTTGTAACACTGCAGTTTTGGGAGTTTTCTGAGCCTCCCATGCTCTCCGTCTCCCTGTAAGTACATATTTAACTTACCTGTAATCCAGCATTCATAGCAATCATAACACTGCACCTTGAACCATAAAGCAATCACAAAGCAATTAGAAAGCGCTCTTTCCCAGATGTTTTACCTTTTTTAAGGTGGCATGGTGTTAATGGTTTGGAGTGTTCCTTTACTCACCTTTTCCAGTTCATAGAAATTATAAATGTGCTTGACAAATTTAGAAGAAAGCTTAAGTTTAAAGCCATACTTTAAAGGAACACTATAGTATTTGGAATACAAATGTGTATTCCTGACGCCATAGTGCCCTGGTAACCAGTTAGCTCCCCAGCCTCCACCTGTAGGGTGTAAAAAGAGTATTTCACTTATCATTTCTCCCACCCAGCGCCAGTCTCCATGCTACCAGTCTGCCCATGAGGTGATGGGAGACACCTTTATATAACTAGGGAGAGGGGCACTATAGCGTTAAGACTAACGGTTTGTATTCCTAAATGTTGTAGTATTCCTTTAATGGTATGTATCAAAAAAGAAAATGGGGTGGAACAGCGCTACAGTACTGATCACAGGGGGAATGAAGCTGCACACCTGAGGGGAAGGACAACCCTCAAACCCTTCAACAAATCTGGGAGAACAGGAAAAGTAGTACAATGAGAGATAATATACACAGAAACAAGGAAGTACAAAAAGTCTCTGAAAATGCAGTGTGGACCTTGGATAGGTATTCTTTGGTTCTTGCTTTGGGTCCTCAGTAGTTAATATGAAATACAAAAGCAGAAACAAGAAGGGACCAATAGTGCAAAACCGTCAGGAAATGGTGTCACGGACAACATAGAAAATAGAGAAGTGCCAACTCACAATATAAAGAGCTATGCCCAGCTCTAGGTAAAAGAGCATGCAGTGGTAATTGAAACTCCCCACATGTAGGATATAGCTGGACAATAGGAGGTGTTTCTTAAATACTTCTTGCAACGTCTCAGATACACGTCAGCATATAAAATACATAAAAATTAGGGAAAAACCCAATGGTGCAATAACGTATGTCACCTACAACTACAAACCACACTGAGGTCCTAAGAGTGCCAACTTACAATTTAGAGAGCTATCACCAGCTCTGAGTAAAACAGCGTACAGTGGTATTTAAACCCACATGTAGGATATCCTTCTAGCAATATTTGCAGTGCAGGTCTTATGAAAAATAAAATCACAAAAGAGGGCCCATAGTGTTCTCAGTAGATAAAATAGAAGTAAAAGATAAAATGAAACATACTTACAATGTATAGAGCAGCCACACTGCTCTATGAACCAGGCGTGAGTGGAATAATCCCCACCTAGGATTTCTTTAGTAGTATTGGATCTTTAAAATAATAAAAAAATCAGCCAGGATAAAACAGCAACAAATAAAAGTAAGAGGACTAACCACAGGCAGATAGGTAGTCAAAAAATACTTTTATTTTAACAAAAGTATAAAAAACACAACGCGTTTTGCCAATTTTTTTTTTTCTTCAAGTGTAAAGTGTATAGGCTTGAAAAAGCCTATTTTTGTCGAAACGCGTTGTGTTTTTTATACTTTTGTTAAAATAAAAGTATTTTTGACTACCTATCTGCCTGTGGTTAGTCCTCTTACTTTTATTTGTACATATAATTAAGGCCAGGGCATTAGGAATACAGGTTTTTATTCCTAACGCTATAGTGTTCCTTTAACGCTTTGACTGCCATTGGGTGGTGTGACAAAGGTTAGCAAGTATCACTGGAATAGGTTTTTTATCAATGCAAAATTATATTTATTTATTTTTTAATATATTATCCAGGGCACAGCCAGAGTTAACCAATTGAGCCTTAGCTATGCCAGGATATAGGGTCCCAATTAGCAGTCTTAAAAGGCAAATGGTTAACTTCACAGATCCCCAGCTGTTTCTGAACTACAACTCCCATGATGCTTTGCTTGACAAAGCATTATGAGAGTTATATCTGAGATCTCCCAAAACAGCAGCTGGGACCTACATTGCTAAGCATAACCCTTTCAGTATCTGATTTGTACAGTGAAGCCTTGAATATCAGCAAAGGGTTAAACACGGTGCTCATCTTTAAAAAAAAAAACGTGAATAAAGTTAACCAGCAATGTTTCCTGAGACATTGTACCAGCTTGTATTTAGAGTTGGTTTCTAAGAATTCTCCCAAATCCACCCACAGGGCCCATCTTAAGTCCACCCACAAGGATGAAGTGTGTGTGTACTGAATTTGTTTGTGTGTGTATAGTGGCTATAGAATGTGTGTAGTGGATACAAAGTGCGTGAGTAAAGTGGATATGCTGTTTATAGTGGATTCAGATTGTATGTTTGTGTAGTGGACAGAGTGTGTGTGTATAGTGGATGTATTGTGTGTATAGTGAATGCAGTGTGTGTGTTTGTGTACTGGATGTAGTATGTGAATAGTGAATGCAGACTGCGTGTGTGTATAGTTAATGCAGTGTGTGTGTTTGTGTAGTGGATGTAGTGTTTGTGTATATAGTAAATGCAGGGTGTGTAGTGGAAGTAGTGTGTATATAGTGACTGCAGAGTGTATGTATGGTGGATGTAGTGTGTGTATAGTGAATGCAGAGTGTGTGTTTGTGTAGTGGATGATGTGTGTAGTGGATGCAGTTTGTGTGGTTGTGTAGTGGATGATGAGTGTGGTTGTGTAGTGGATGTTGTGTGTCTGTAGTGGATGCAGTTAGTGTGTTTATGTGGTGGATAATGTGCATGGCTGTGTAGTGAATGATGTGTATGGTTGTGTAGTGGATGATGTGTATGGTTGTGTAGTGGATGATGTGTGTGGTTGTGTAGTGGATGATGTGTGTGGTTGTGTAGTGGATAATGTGTATGGTTATGTAGTGGATGATGTATATGGTTGTGTAGTGGATGATGTGTGTGGTTGTGTAGTGGATAATGTGTATGGTTATGTAGTGGATGATGTATATGGTTGTGTAGTGGATGATGTGTGTGGTTGTGTAGTGGATGATGTGTATGGTTGTGTAGTGGATGATGTATATGGTTGTGTAGTGGATGATGTGTGTGGTTGGGTAGTGGATGATGTGTATGGTTGGGTAGTGGATGATGTATATGGTTGGGTAGTGGATGATGTGTATGGTTGTGTAGTGGATGATGTGTATGGTTGTGTAGTGGATGCAGTTTGTCTGTTTGATGATGTATGTGTGTGTGGTGGATGTGTGACAAATGCTGCTGGGAGGTATTTTTTTTATGTTGAATTTTTATAATTAAAAAAAAAAAAATAGATGTATTCCCCCCTCCCTGCCTCTTACCTGTAGCCAGGGAGGGGGGACACTGGATTCCCTGGTGGTCCGGTGGCTCCGCTTGTTGGGTCAGCAAGGAGGAGCCCAGCAGACTCCCTCCACGTTCTCCCTCCTGCCAGCCAGTGCTCTATTTCTGACGCGAGCCCAGCACGCATTGCGTGCCGCAGAGCGTTGTCATGACAACCCGCGGCAGCGCTTTACGGCTCGCAAGAGTGCTGGAGGGGAAGGTAAGTATATCCTGGGCCCTGCTTGATTGAAGGGCTGGGGGCCTGGGCATGTAGAGGATTACCTGTGCAGTCTGCACTCTGCAGTTGTCACCCTCTGATGGCTGCCCTGAGTGCCCCCTGGCATTCAGAAGGTTTAACCCCATTAACCCCAGGCACTGCCAGAGCCAATTACTCTTACCTTTGTATCTCAAAGCTGCATCATTTTCTCAGCAGGGCTGCCCTCTTCCTCATGATTGAAGATTTTTCTTTCCCGTGTTACAGCCAACTTGGTAATCCATGGTGGATTGTGTGAGCCCCCAGCTCTTCCTGTACAGAGGAGATCACCTTCAGCCAGCTGACTGTGAGTGTGCACTGCACCTGGAAGAGCTGCTGTTTGAGCCAGGGTTAGCAGCAGGATCTGGCTGACATCCTCAGTGTAGTTCCTTTCAGCTGCTGTGTGTGTTGAGAAGGAGGCAAAAGGCAAGTCCTGCAGGACTACTAACAGGAACGTTAGTTCCTGCTGTGGAAAAAGTGCAGGAACGCCGTTCTCACGTGTTCCTGCAGGACCCGAGCCTTGTTCTGACTCCATTTGCATGAATACGGCCCTAAATTTTCAAGGCACCTCCACCATGTTCCACTGTTGCCTCTAGACACTCACATTGTATTTTACTAAAGTGAGAATTCAAAGGGAATTCAATTGATTTTCTCATTTTATCCCGAGTGGAAAGCACACACAGGTGAAGATGCACTTTTTTGGGGGGAGGGGGAGCGGGGGGAGGTGGGGGTTATTCACCATTGTAGTCAAAAGTCCTTGCGCCTTCCCTGTAACCACTGCAGTCTGGCTTTACAATGGGGTACAAACTGTCTCCAACTTTTGCACAGTAGTTTATATGTTAGGTAGCAATGCATAATTCTTCCAATTACCTAGCAAATAGCAAAAGCTGCATCCCTTCCATCAATGCCAGAGAATTTAAACTTCACTAGAGGATCATATGAAAAGATCTTCTAATATTTACTGTTGCATTAAAATTCTGGAGACAAACAGGGTAAAAGAGGAAACCTCCATCACCTTAAATGTTTTGGTACATCTTTTTGCCAAATTGTACAGCGCTGTGGAATATGTTGGCGATTTATAAATACAATTTGAAAAAAAATGTATACTTGGTCATTCCTTGCACAGTACTGTGAATGTAAACAACACTGCGGGGGTTATATTAATACGTATGACATGCTCTAACTGTGTCAGAATAAGCAATCGCAGCATGTAAACTAAAAAATAAAACATATGAACATTGTTTGTTTTTTTCTTAAATACCACATGTGACAATTCCGCTTCAACTTATTCTGTTGCAAAAACAATGTTACATTTATAGAAATAAAATGTAAAAAAAAATAATTACATGACAAGAAAAAAAAGATACAAAACAAATTGAAAACAAGATGTTTTTAGTTGTGCTGTACATAAAAGGGGTTGTTTCCTCTGCGGTGCTTGGGATTGTTGTGTTTGCTACTATTAACACAGCATTGGCCAGCAGGGTGCATAGAATAAGGATGCTGAATAACATTTTTCACAGTCACAATAAGTGATCCATAAAATTAGTTCCCTGTATTTCTCCCAAGTATTCCGTGGATATGGTGATTCATTCTAACAACATTATTTGTAACCTAAATTCTAATGGCATTAAAAAGGCCATAAAAGCTCATCTGGAAGAATTCTCCAACTTAGAAATAGTCGCAACTCGACTACTTTAGACTTTAATTTTGGCATTCAGGTTCTAATTCATTACAATTTGGAGTTTAGTGAATAAACCCTTTAAGATTTTTTTTTTTTTTTTTTTAATATGCCAGCCTTTGCAGTTATATTTACAGCATATTTGCTGTGATATAATATTTAGACTTGAGCATTCAGAACCCGGTTAATTGCGATTTAGTGAATTTACACAGATCGGCTATTCAGCCAAATTGCATATCTCCAAATCATCTTACAGATGTATAACTGATCGAATGGCTAGCGAGATGGACAAACGTGTGTTTCATCCAGTATTTGGAGTTTGGCCCGCTATGTCAAAAAACAAGAGATGATTGATAGGAAAAATGATGATTGATGGCTAGGGGACAGAAACTAAATGTTGTTTTTATTCTCAGATCAAGTGAGAAGTTACCACAAGGGGAAAATAAAGGAAAAGCAGTAAAAAAAAGCTATATTTAAATATAATATTTTAATAAATATATGAAATAT